GTCTTCCAGCCAGTTCTATCAAACCTTTACAATGAATCCAGAACGTGGCAGCACTGTTTATCAATTTGCACTGGCAACCAATAGCTGCTCGCATAAAATTCAAGGCATTGATGTTTGCCTACAAAACCACCACTGGCTCTGCAGCCATTTACCTAAATTCATTACTTCAGACTTATGTGCTCACTAGAAGCTTGTGTTCTGCAAGTGAATGTCGCTTTGTTATGCCATCCCAAAGAGGCACAAAATCACTTTCTCTGACTTTTACATTTAATGTTCCCTACTGGTGGAATGACCTGCCCAACTCAATCTGAGCAGCTGAGTCCTTAGCCATCTTCAAGAATTGGCTAAAAAACACATCTCTTCCATCTTAATTTGCATTGGATAAAAGCATCTGCTAAATGACTAAATGTAAATATAAAATACATTTACATGTCTTATTTCTGAGAAATATTAAGGTTTAGTGAGGTATATGCTTAAAATAATGAAAATACTCAGTTTGATGTAAATCTCATTCGGTTGTAAGAAACTGCAATACATTTGACTTCAAAACTTATTAAAATAAAACATACTATAGATATTTTAATTTTTTTAATACATGGTATATTCTAAAACTTGAAACCTTTACAACTAATCTGCATTAAAAATAAAAACGACACTAGATAATAAGATTGTGCTGTGAAATGTAGCACCATTTTTAAAAATTTGAAAATAATGCCTGTTAAAATTACAAAACTAAAACTACAAAAACTGAAACTAGAAAACACAAACAAAAAAATAATTAAACAATGAAAAATACAAACTTAAATTAGTTTTTAAAAAAACTTACAAATTAAAACTATAATAACCCCTGAGGCCAATGATTAATAAAGGAACTCTGTGTTTGTGTGAATAGAGCCCACATTGTTTGTGTGTAGTTTTTCTAACCGTTTGGTTTGCAGGGCTTCAACTCTGTCGCCTCCAGGACCGTTACTAACAGTCGCCCGATTCCACTGTTCTTCTGCGAGCGAGCTAAACACCATACACAGGCTTTTATCAATAAAGCTACATTCAATCACATTGACTTTGACTCTTAATAGTCATCAATTAATCCCAACCTTGGTATGCTTTCTCTCTTTTCAGCTTCTCAGTCTCTATGAAGTGGTCAGATGCTGCCTTGATCTTCTGTACCCATGTAGTCCTAATTTAACAAGAAAATTATCAATACTGTTGTACAACAGATACTCACTGTAATAAATGAGTATTTTTGCTTTATACTCTAAACTGAATGATTTATAGCCTTTATTTTACTTTAAGTTCAGTGGCTCATGTGCGTGTATGATTGCAGCTTTAGGCCTTTATCTGAGCATTTTAGCTTGAATGTTAGTATAGTAGGTGTACCTCTCATTAATGGTGTCAGCCTTAAGAGTGTAAACACGATCAATGTGTGAGATGTGAAAAACCGGATCATCACTGGAAGGGTCAGAGGGCATTTTTACCAAGACCTCATTCAGAAACACTGGCTAGAATAAGAGAGACAGAGTGTCAGATAGGGACATTTTACAGAGAGTTTAACAGAACAAGTTCCAGATGGACACCAGTCATGTTGCTTTACCGTTTTATACATCTTGTACTGTGCGTTTGAGTTGGGATTGAAGAGCTTGTCAGGCCCAGATGAGAACTGTTTGGAGGTGTAGGTGAGGAGTAGGAAGTCATTAAACAGGAAGGCCCAAAGCTCCTTGCTGCTCTTGGTCTTATGT